ACTGTTCAACATCTAGGTTATTTTCTCATATCTATTATTTAATAATGCTATTTGATTGTAGCATTGTCTGAAAAATAGTATTGTCTGAAACTGAAGATCTGGGTAACATATTTTTTTTTAGAAGAGAATGTGATGAGATACATTTTATACGAGTTGAGTCTGAAGTAGAGACAAAGCATCCACATCCAAAGGTCTTGAAGTGTCTTGGAAATTTGAGTTTAGAGGTTGCAGTTGGGATGTGGGAGGAATTAGCTTTCTGCTGACAACTGAAACTTGAGATGCTTGAGTTCCCAAAGCAAAGGCGCATGGGAGAAGCAGCCTTTTCAGCTTCAGAAAAGGAATTGCACATTAGGGCTTGGGTATATCATGAAGTTGAGCAGACTGGGTTGCTGTAGCACCACACTGTGGCAAGAAGTCCCAAAGACAAAACCAAAAATAACCCTGTATATTATCCACAGTGTGAAAAAAGACTGCCTATTACAAGTGAAGACTTTTGGTTATATTATACACACATACACATCAGTAGCATTTTTGTGAATAAAAGAAAACATATATTTTTATAAAAAGCTGTACTCCTCATTTCAAAGAGTTTTGTGTGCACAAATATGTTTATTTTTTTATTTGTTGTTTACTTTGGTGTGTTTCTTGCTTGCTTTTGTTTTGGAGCTTAAGAAAAATCTAACAATTTGTCCAAATCATTCCCTTTCTAAATATTAAGGCAGCAACCTTATTAAGAATTTCAGAACAATGCTTTATTTATTTAAAACCACATAAACTAAGCAATGCAAGTTGAACTGCACATATGCATCTTTCTCCTTGGGCTGTTGCCTAATCCCATATTTATCTACAATCATAAACAAACTAGAATTTGTCTGTAAGATTAAAGATATTTGATATTTCAGTATACAGCCATAAAAAAGAGGAAAACTCGTAGTGTCATTTATGTCACCTCATAAAGTATATAGAACCACCTGTATTTGTGCTATTGGCATCAAACACATGGTTGCCCAAAGTTGCTTCTAAGATTCCACAGATAGGGAAGGTGCTTCTAAATTTTTCCAATATTAACTAATCCCTGGTGTCAGGGAATTCTTCCTTAGTCTAACCTAAAACTTACTTGATTCAATTTATATTATGATTACACAGAGCTAAGAAAATGCCATCGAGGGTGTTTTTCTTCCACACCCATCCCTGTCCATACCTGCATGGACACACACACACATACCCCTCAAATTACCCCTCATCTCCCTATATTATACATTATAGCTTTTGTCTTTGCTAATAATCCTGTTTACAGTATCACAATGCTATATAAGGACAGAAGAAGCTATTTTTAGAGAACATCCCCAAGAAGCACCTGCCATGGCTGAAGCCTAGATACCATCAGACACTAGCTTTTGTCTTTGCTAATAATCCTGTTTACAGTATCACAATGCTATATAAGGACAGAAGAAACTATTTTTAGAGAACATCCCCAAGAAGCACCTGCCATGGCTGAAGCCTAGATACCATCAGACACTTCTTTGCAGGTAACAGAGACACATTAGTTTTTCAATTCAAAAGTTTGATGCCTTTTTACATATTAGGTGAACTTTGCTTTGCAATAGAAATGGTGGAAGACCAGAAATAATTTCTATGCAAGTCATGGCAATCTTTATCTACACAGGACACACTCCTATAAAATTAAAGTTATGCTCAAATAACTTTTCTTTTGAGTGATGATTCACAAGAGAAAGGAGTTCTACTTTTGAATTAACTAGACCTGTCCATTCAGAAACAAATTTGGCTAAGAAAATTTATGCTTTTTTTATTTTCCAGTATTATTTGTCTTTGGGGTGGAGTTGGGTGGGGAGAGGGGCAGAGAGAGAGGGAGAGAGACAAGCACTTTACACACAAAAGGTCTGATGAAATCCTTAACAACCTCCCCAGTCAGAAAGGGATAACATTAGCAAGCACCTACTATGCTTCAGTATGTCATGTACTATGCATAAAAGTGTTTTCATTAAATCATTCCAATAATCCTGGAGGGTGGCATTATTACAGTGATCTTTTAACAAAGGTAAATTTTAGTTCTGAATCCCAACTGAAGATTTCAGCAGAAACTGTTTGGTACCTATTTGGTTTCTGGGAAACAAACAAAAACAACTCCCCTAGTGTACGTGAATACATTACCCACTTGGCAAATTATGTGTCTCCCTGTGGCTTATGGTTTAATGCATTTTCCACTATCCCTATGAGTTAAAAAATTAGGCAGCCAGCATTTCTGCTGCTATATTGAAAACCAGAGAGGAGAAAAGACAGGGACATGTTAGGTAGCCCTCCTAAAATCACATAAATAGTAGTGAGATTACTGGAAATTGAATTTAGGCCTCCTGACTTGCTGTGGCCCATATCTCTGAGCACTAAAGACGTTTTTATAAATTAAGTACAAAGAGGCTGGTTTACTGGGACTAGAGAGATAAATTCTAAAATTATTTCCTTTTGTGTTTGAATCTCAGTATGTTTTAAATAGAGTTATTTATTTATTTAATTGATTTTATTTCTAATGCCCTCCATACTACCTTTTAAATAAGACAAGAATGATATTATATGAATTTGATTCACTGTTAACTGACTTTTTACCAGTTTTCATCAGTGTAAACAGACCGATGTAATCTATATTAATTCAAATGCTGTGTGGAAGTGATTTTTGTAAAAATTACATGGACCATTCAGATGTGATAGAAGAGCAATTATTGGCTGTTTGGTTTTTTGCAGTCACGATATGGAGCTTCAGTTTCTCCCAAGCCTGAACTACCGCTCTTTTACACTCCTATTGATCTGGTGGACATTAGTGTGGAAATGGCTGGACTGAAGTTTATAAATCCCTTTGGTCTTGCTAGTGCAACTCCAGCTACCAGCACGTCAATGATCCGAAGAGCTTTTGAAGCTGGATGGGGTTTTGCCCTAACCAAAACTTTCTCTCTTGATAAGGTAAGAAAATTGAAGTCATGTTTAAGTGTCTATCGTGTATTTGAATTGAGGCGTAAGTACTATAATGGAAAGATTTCTTTGACCAAAAAATAATATTTATTAAACTATTTGACAAGACCTATCATAAGTCTTAGTCTTTACTTTCCTTCCGTTCCTTCTGTCCTGTGGAAAGAGGGGAAAGCATATATTTCTCATTTTGTATTGCCTAGGAAACATCAAAACCATAAATATTACAAAAGAGACTTTTGTTTAATAATCACAAGTTCATGCATTCTTATTTTGACATTATTGTTTAATGATTTCTGGATGTGTGGATGAGGCCTTATGCTTCAACTCAAACTGACGGTGACAATGGACTTGGTTTGCACAAATCCTGGGATCCAGTTCAAGTAAAGAACCTGTTAGTGTAATTCACTGGTGCTGGTAATAAGACTCTTTGTGAATTCTTTAATATAGAAACTTTCCCCCGAAACATAAACCCTGAATTTTATTTGACATTATGACTTTTTATTCACACCAGAAGTGAACATACTTAGTAGTAAATAAACTATATATTAAAGTTGAGATATGTTCTCTGAAGTACACAAAGTATATAAATCCATGTTTTCAAAGAATGATGCTTTATGCAGTACAGGGTTGCATCCTTATATGGTTTTGAATTAGAAAAGAGCAGCAGAATTTAACATTTCTTAGAATGTTTATTGATAAAATTGTAAATGCTAAACCTCTCAATGTATTTAGTACTAACTGGTAGTTAGTAATAATTAATGTATAAGAATGTGTGAATGTAGTGACTAAGAAAAGAGTATCATTATTTAAATCAGCCTTATCCTCAGGCAAAGAAAATAATAGAGAACAAACATGCCCCATTAAGCACATTCTCTCCTTCTTTCTGCTTTTTCTAGGATCAATAGTTGGCATTATTATGGCTAAAACGTTAGGACTGTCTTGTTCTGACAGCTTTACAGGATGCTATGTTTAAGTGTAGTCAAGAAAATCTAGAGAATCCTCAAAAGTTAGAAAAAACTAACTTTTAAAGATTTTTATATTTAAATAACTAAAAAGAAGTTCTTTTTTCAAATTAATTGACTGAATATTTAGAAATACTTCCGTTAAACAAAGGGTAAAAAATAATAGAATCTTCTGGATTCAGCTTTAGAATTTCATGAATCGATTGTTACAGCCTTGTAGAATATTGATAGCATATTTGTCTTTATTTCAATTCATTCTTTAAGAATTACGGGCAAGCTGCAATCAAATGTTTAATCTGTTGAAAAACTAAGTCTCAGCATTTAATGAATATATTAGTTATGCTACTTGAAAATGTATATGTGTAAATAAAAATAGGTGGCTAATCAGGTACTAGTGAAGAATTGTAGCAAAAAAAAGGTGTTTGCTTTAAATTTGTAGTTTTCTTTGCTTACAAAAATTGAATTCTGATTAATCAGAGACATCAGTCTTTACTCTGTTGGTGACATGCATTGATTTGTGATGCTGTGTCTTTCAGTAACCTAGGAGCAGTTGTCTTTATTAGGATCATCAGCAGAAATACATGTGGAAGCTAACTTCCTTCAAAACCTCCAATTTGAATTTAAGCTATCAATTCAGAAGTCTATAATGCTTGTTTCAAATGGGGAGTTATAAACAAATAAATTAAATTTGGCACATGAAACATAATGATGGGGGCTTTTAGGATCCCCTATTTACTTACTTTGATGATGGTTAAAATACTCTGCAAAGGCTATTTTAAACATAGTTGTGCAGATTTTAATGATAAAAATAATGATGCCGCCTTGAGCTTAAATAATTATACATTTCCAGAAAAGATTTTTACATACATGATTTTTCAGAGTAGTATGTTTGTCTTATAAAGATCTACTTTTTTTTTGTTTTCATATATTGTCCCTAATTAATGATTAAATCTGTTGTGAATATATAATTACATCCTATGAGCTACTATGCTTTTTTATTGAGGAAATGTTGTAGTATACAACTCAGTAGTATGAACACCTTTTCCCCACAGTCTTTTACTAAAAATGTCTATTAAAATATCATATGTACTATATACATTTGTGTGATATTATAGCATACCAACTTAGATTAGACTTATAATTTATTATTCCAATTCAAGAATCTATTTAAAATGTATTAAAAATCAGAATCTTAACATTTGAAATTTGGATGCTCTTAATATGACAAAGATTATTCTATGGAATTTTGTTATCATATGAAATATTAATATTTCACAATACAGTTTTGATGAAGTACAATTTGCCAAGCCTGCATATGATAAAGAAATTAAATGCTTACCAAGGGAGTTCAGTAAAAATTAGAGCCCTGCCTGAACATCTGCTGGAAATTTTATTATCCTGTCCTACTGACAGTGTGGCTCCCTCGTTGTTTTTCTAGATTGACAGCTGAATATTGCACTGATTTCTGCTGCAAATATGTTTAGGTGAACTTTGTTTCCCTTTTTAAATTTTTTTTGGGGGGGTTGGAACATGCTTTTGATTTTCATCCTATATTTTTTTTATACTCTTGACATTTGTAGATGCCAGATTGAGGTCTAATATGCTGTAGCAATGATAGACCATTGACTTACAGTGAAATGCCAGTTGATATCTCAGTAAACAGAAATATTATTATTCTTTTCTGTGCGGTCTGTATAAAAGCTGTATGTGCTTTCTTTAGGGAGGCAAATGATCAGATTTTTAATGTCAAATATAAAACGATATGTGTTTGCTTTTGTGTTAAATAACATCAGAGATGGCTTTTATTAACTATATTCTTCCTCTCCAAATCAGCCTTTCCAAGAATCTCCCAAAATAAATAGATGGCTATTCTTGAAATTCTATTTATGTTTTATAAAGATGATACAATGATGTTTAAAATGTAATTATGAAATTATTTTTATATATGAATATTTATTGGGTTCAATTTTAAATTTAAAAAGGTGGGAGAGAAATCAACCTGTCAATTTAGATTAAAGCTAAATTTTTGTGACAAAAACGGAGAAGTGCTCTGTTTAACTAGAAATATTAGAGATGGTTTGGACTTCACATAAAATAACCTTTGACCTGTGTTCATGTTATATTGATAGGAAATAGATAAAAACATTTTGTTTTCATTAGTCATCTCCATAAATTTTGTCCTCTCAAAGAGTTACGTATATACTGCAAATGTATAACATCTAACTGCAAGTTGCATGTATCTTTATCATTACTCAAATAAACCAATCAGGATGTGTTTATTATTATTATCCTAAATCAAATCCAAACCTAAGCAACAGTTCACTTCATTTATAAGCTATTATATATATAAACATATGTATGTGTATAACTTCTTGTTGATTTTTAGTAAGAAAATGTCTTGAATGAATAAAACCTAAGCAACAGTTCACTTCATTTATAAGCTATTATATATATAAACATATGTATGTGTAAAACTTCTTGTTGATTTTTAGTAAGAAAATGTCTTGAATGAATATATTTTGTTTTAATGACATGATTAGGTAAATAGGTAAACATATAATGAGTCAACATAAAATACTGAAAACTAAAAACTGAAAAATATTTATTTTTTAGTTATTTCTTTGGAATCAAAGTATTGATTGTAGCTGTTTCTGTAAAATGCAACCTTATACCATATAGCACAATACTTAGTGCGTAGGAAGGGTTTGATAAATGTTTTATAAACATTCGTTGGATAAATGAATTTATAAATGAGTAAATAGATTTTTTTGGCAACAGCGTATTGAATTTCTTCTTTTTTCCCAGCTGTATGATCAGACAGTTAACACATAAAACAATTGACTGTTCTGAGTATTGATCTCAATTAAAGGAGAAAAGGACAATTTAAAATTTTTCATATCCTGTGTTGCTTTCTACAGTGCATCTACACATGTCTAAAAATGAAAATGTCAGTGGAATTTCTAAATGCATAGATTGTGTTTTAAGACTTAGATTGTTGAATAAGCTTTTAAAATGCAGAGAATTTTTGAGAAAACAGAATAAATATCACATAATATTAGGAAGGGACATAAAAATCATCTGGCCCAATTTTCTAAGCTCATGTCTCAGTAATCTTGATGGAAGAAATGTAACCAGTTTTTGAATACATTTAGTGACAAGAAATATGCCAGGTCTTTTAAGGCAATGGAACCTGTTATAGCTTGGAAAGATGTATTTTAGAAATATATTCCTTTTATAGACCCCAAATCAGCTTTCTCATAAGTTCCATTGTGTTTTATATATAGTTCTGTACTCTGAAACCTCATGGAATAAATAAATGTAACCTATTAATATAATTTTTTTTTAAAATTTTAAAATAGTGTGTGTGTGTGTATGTTTTTCCTCAAGTAAATAAATACCCTAGAGAAAGGCGAACAAGTATGGAGAGGCAGAGTAGTGTAGGGAAAAGCACTTTGGCCAGGGAGACTCTAGTCTCTGTTCAAAGTTGCTTCTAAGTCACTATCTTGGTTGGACATGTTGTTTAGTATTGTAGGTTATTGTTGTTATAGTTATTATTATTATTCATATTATTAACTACCATTTATTGAGTGCTTGGAATGTATAAATTAAGTGTTTTCCACAGGTTATCTCACTTAATCCTCACAATAACCCTATGAGAAAGATAGTTGTTTTTGTTTTTGTTTTTTCAGATGAAATAATAGTCTGAGAAAGTTGCTCAGGACTTAGAACAACAATTACCTATTTGCTTGCAATCATGTAGGTTGGTACTTTGGGCTGAGGTCATATGGGCAGTTCTGCTTCACATGGTATTTGCTGGGCTCATCCATGCATCTGCTGTCAGTTGGTGAAATGCCTGGGGAATGGCAGGATGTCCTCAATAACATGTTTGGAGCCTCAAGTGGGATTGCTACCATCGCTGAACCCTTCTCTCTATCTCTTTATAATCTCTCTTGCCTCATGGTATCGCATCATCAAGGAGACTAATTTGGGCTAGTTCACAAGGTAACAGTTTTTTAAGAGGACAAGAGT